CCCTGCACCCTCTCCCAACTTTGAATATCATGCGTATGCGGCCGAAGAAGAAGAATATGATAAAATCCCATAAGAGGTTTCACGGTTGCTTGAGCGTGAGGAAAGTACCATTCAGCCGTATAAAGAGTCGTTAGAAAGGATTAATTTGGATTCAGAGGAAGATCCGGAAGAAGTCAAGATTGGATCTTTGCTTCATCCCGGTGTAAAGAGCAGGTTGATTGAATTGTTGAAAGAGTATGTGGATATCTTTTCTTGGTTATACCAAGACATGTCTGGTTTAGATATTGATATTGTGGAACATCATTTGCAGCTAAGTCCAGAATGTCCGCCAATCAAGCAGAAATTGCGAAGAACTCACCCTGATATGGCAGTAAAAATTAAAGAATAAGTATTAAAGCAAATTAATGTTGGTTTTCTTGTGTCATCAGTGTACCCTCAGTGAATTTCCAATATTGTCCCAGTACCAAAGAAAGACGGAAAAGTTCGCATGTCCGTAAATTATAGAGATTTAAACAAAGCTAGTCCAAAAGATGACTTTTTAGTACCACATATTGATATGTTAGTTGATAATACAACAAAATTCAAAGTGTTCTCATTCATGGAAGGATTTTCCAGATATAATCAAATCAGAATGGCTCTTGACGATATGGAAAAAACAACGTTTATCACACCATGGGGAACATTCTGTTACAGAGTGATGCCTTTCGGGTTGAAGAATGCTGGTGCAACGTACCATAGGACTATGACAACCCTATTCTATGATCTGATGCACAAGGAAATTAAGGTATAAGTTGATGATATGATTGCTAAATCCCATACTGAAGAAGGGCATATAGAGGATTTGTTGAAATTGTTTCAGCATTTAAGGAAGTATCGTCTCCGCTTGAATCCGAACAAATGCACCTTTGGTGTTCGATCAGGAAATTTGTTGGGTTTCATTATCAGCCAAAAAGGAATTAAAGTTGATCCTGATAAAGTTAAGGCAATTCAATAAATGTCTGCACCAAGAACTGAAAAATAAGTTAGGGGCTTCCTCGGGCGTTTGAATTATATTTCCAGGTTCATTTCCCATATGACTGCAACATGTGAACCCATCTTTAAGATTCTGAAGAAAGGTCAAGGGTGTGTATGGACTGATGATTGTCAAATGGCATTTGAAAGCATTAAAGAGTATCTGCTTGAACCTCCTATCTTGCTCCCTCATGTTGAAGGAAGACTATTGATTATGTATATGACGATGTTGGATAATTCTATGGGTTGTGCTTTGGGACAACAATATGAAACAGGGAGAAAAGAATATGCCATTTATTATCTCAGCAAGAAGTTTACTGACTATGAGTCATGGTATTCTATGCTAGAAAAAAATTGTTGTGCTCTGGCCTGGGCGATAAAATGGTTGCGGCAATATATGTTGAATCATATTAATTGGTTGATTTCCAAAATGGATCCAATTAAGTATATTTTTGAAAATCCCTCTATTAACGGGAGAATTTCCCGTTGGCAAATGTTGTTATCTGAATATGATATTGAATACCGTACTCTGAAGGCTATAAAAAGCAGTGTGTTGGCGGATTATCTTGCTCACCAAACGGTGGATGATTATCAGTCTGTTAAATATGATTTCCATGATAAGGATGTGATGTTTTTGAAGATAAAAGATTGTGATGAACATTTTCCTGAGGAAGTTCCCGATCCTGAATCTCAGTGGGGTATGGTGTTTGATGGAGTTGTGAATGCTTATGGGAAAGGAATTGGTGATATGATTATCAGTCCTCAGATATCGCATATCCCATTTACTGCAAGGTTGACATTTGATTGTACCAATAACATGGAAGAGTATGAAGCTTGTATCATGGGTCTCGAGAAGGCTATTGATCTCAGAATCAAAATTCTAGATGTGTATGGCGATTCAGCTTTGGTAATAAATCAGATTAAAGGAGAATAGGATATTCGTCACATTGGCTTAATTCTCTACAAAGATTGTGCTAGAAGATTATTACCCTTCTTTAATAAAGTTGAATTCTATCATATTCCCAGAGACGAAAATCAGATGGCATGTGCTTTAGCCACTTTGGCTTGCATGTATCAAGTAAATACTTGGAACGATGTGCCTCGTATCACAGTGTGACGTTTGGATAGACCAGCTTATGTGTGTGTAGCAGAGGAAATGTCAGATAAAAACATTGGTATTATGATATCAAGCATTTTCTCCAGACTCAGTAATACCCGACTGGTGTGTCAAATAAAGGTAGAAAGACATTAAGAAGGTTGACATACAACTTATTTCTCAATGAAGATGTGTTATACAAAATAAATTATGACATAGTCTTGCTCAGATGCGTGGATAGACACTAATCAGACATGTTGATGCATGAAATTCATGAAGGCTCTTTTGGCACTCATGCCAGTGGACATTCGATGGAAAAAAAGGTGTTTATGGCAGGTTACTATTGGTTGACATGAAGGCTACTTTAGCACTCATGAAAGCTTGGTTCTCTTAAGAGGTTTATTATCTTTGCTTGTTTGGTTTCAATCCAAAGGATGAAAATTCTACATTGACTCATTATGTCAAGTGTTGGCTTCTTGTTGGTTAGACGATTCTTTTTCCTAGCTTTTACCTTATGCATTAGGATAGTCTCTTCATCTCCTCTCATCTTCTTTAATTTCAAAAATCTTCTTCTTCCTTTTGAAAACTCTTCTTGTTTTTAAACTTGAACCGCTTTCGCAATAAACTTGGACTTAGGTCCATGCATTTTCAAAATATTCTCTTAATCAAACTTTAAACAACTTAATAATACTTTTACATTTTTTGTGAGAAGACTAAAAGTCAATCAATCTCATTCAAACTATTTTTTCACTTTGGCTTTTTACTTTAAACTTTTCTCAAAAGATTAGACTCTTGTCAATCTTTGTAGTGACGCAAACTACTATACTTCTACGATATATAGTGAAGTGAGATATTTTCCACTTGGGTGTTGAGCGGGGCGTTGTTGATTTTAAAATCCAAGTTATATCCTCCACTTTGAGATGACGTAAGTTCTCATTTCTCATAATCGTGGGTAGTAAGTATGTTTTCCACTCGAATACGACGATGATGTCTTGTCTCTTAAAATTAACCAACACACTTGTGTTTTAAAAATTTTAAAGGTGAACTACGAGTACCCTGATCCCCTATTGCATGGAAGGTGGTACGTAGGCACTAAAAGTTCGCAACTGCGCCGGATGCAAAAATTGTAAAATATATTCTTTTCTCATCTCTACAATTTATTATTTTATACAACTCTTATAGCCAAAATACAAAAAATTTCAAAGAGGTTCTTGTGGAATACCGTAGATGTTTAGGGTGCTAATATCTTCCCTTTACATAACCAACTCCCGAACTTAGATTCTCTCCCCCTCTTTTTGGGTTATTTACTCTTTTCCCATTCCTTTGAAAACAATAAAGTGTGGTGGCGATTTTTATTTTGATATGTGCGAGTCAAGTCAATCCAATGACTTAGTCTCAACATTTCTACCCCTACAGTTGAAAAAGACTTTATTGGCCTTTTGCCAAACCTCATAGCAAATTGAGAAGACTTGGTATTGCGCTTGTAAGTTAGGTGTTATGAAAAACCATAAGACAATGCACAAAGAGACATATTTTTTCTTCTATTTAGCGAATTTGATGGCTGCAACATCAGTCAATTTTGTGGTTAGGTGATCTTCATATCCTTGACTGTGAAACCACATATGGACAACACGAGCCCATATGTTATAGTTGACTGATCTGGTGAATTTTTCACATGAGATAAGCAAAACTTTAGTAAACAAGACAAAATCAGTGTCTTCCATGGCTTAAAGAATCAACAATCGGGGATTTTTGAACTGGAGTACTAATTTCCGAGAGTCGAAATGAAAAACGGAGACCGGATCTGTGACCGGAGGAGAAAGTTGAGCGGGCGGCCAAAAAAATAGTCGGGTCGAGCGACAGACATGCTGATTTGGAAACGACACGCGAAGCCCACGCGGGGGAACAGTGATGGCGCGTGTGCAGCTTTATCTAGGGCGGTCAAAAGTGTGAGGGCCAGATCGAAGGGCAGCAAGTTTGATAGTGGGTCAGTTTTCTAGAACATCACTGAAAAGTGACTGGAACAGTTACTACAGCAGTGGCGGCAAAGTGGTTACCGTAGAATGTTGAGAAGGTGAGAGAAAAATCAGAGTGATAACACAGTTTACAAAAAAAAAAATCTCACCCTAAGACAGTGGGTCAATAAGATAAAGCATGACGAAGAATTATCACTTTGTAGGTTCTAGATACCATATTAAATTATGAGAGACTAAAAGACATTTAGATAAAACCGTGTGTTGGAATAACACATCAGAAGATACATTATATAGGAAAATATAAATTTTAATATTAATTATACATATATATTCTATTCTAAAATAAACTACATAGAATACACTAAAGAATATTATAGAGAATATTGTCTATATATACAATGCTGATTTTGATCAATACTTATGTTACAATTTTTTTTTGCAATTTTTTTAAAATTATAAGTTTAATGGTCCATTCTACTCTTTTCCATTTCATTCAATTATTTCTAAGATATCCCAAACATAGACTAAAAGTGTGTTTTACTTTAAAAGCCTAAAAATTCTTCTCCACACACACTTTACAGGGTGGGAATATAACCACACAAAAGGAAATTGACCATAGTAATGCAATTAACCTCATATTCAAACATTCGCAAGTACTACTTACAAGTAATAATAATACAATGATTTTATTCAAAACAGGCAACCATCTAGCTTCCACGGTAAATAAATTACATACAGAAGATACAGAGAAACTGATCATTACTTCGAATAATTAAAATCAAAAGAATTCTACACATTACGAGACATATAGCCCCCCGGTTATGAGGGAGAGCAAGGGAAAAGGCAAATAATGAGGAAAGTGGACATACGATTCCCTTATAACTTAGCTATTGGTAGAACCACATGGGCATGACGACTCACGGTTTATCATACACAAATTTTGTTCTGGGATCTGCAATGACACCCTTCCCTCCATTCACTTCCAAATCATGCCTGCGTGAATAGAATTAGAAAAACATTGTATAAAATTTTTAGAAATCATAAAGTGAAAGCAAAACATTGTACAAAATAGTATTAGAAAAAATGTTGATGGTGAAAGCAAAGACTCAACTGAAACACAAAATCAGGGATGGTCAACTGTTCACGAGGTACATATCTAAAGAGCTGCAGAAGTCGATCAACATATACCACTTTCTTCCAAACCTGAAAATTAATTTTTAATAATGTATAATATAATATAGGTGAATATGAGATTGTTAAATATATTTAGATTTCACTATATACCTCATTGTCAACAACCATTTGAAGTGCAAGGACTGCTGCTTTTAGTCCAAAAGTTGGATGAAGCACATATATTGCCTACACATCAGATTGAGAATACAAAACTAAGTGTAAAAGTTTAATGCATTATTAGGGCAATAGAGATAGTGCATATTTGTATCAGTCCTTTTTTAAATTAAAAAAACTACATACATGCAGATTGCGCTGATGCTTCCGACCAAGTATCTGTTGCAATCTTTTCATCCAACCCAGGTCTGGCTGCCTAAAACCAAAAAAAAAGATGAGAAAGACAAAAATTAACTGTCGATAAGCAAGCATCGTGGGATTTGCACACAAACCATAAGCAACTAATAAATGCAATTATTATACACAATTCACAAAGCAAGTTGCTCTTCAAAATGTGATTCTCTTCCAGCTCACCCTTTACCTCTTTCTTTCATTCAAGCCCGATTCATTCCAGTTGCACAACTTCAATTCATTTTAACACTATTTATCCAAAAAAGGTGTCCTTGCCTATATTTACTGCAACCTCGTAAATGTAAACAAGAACATATGCCCTCGGCAAAAAATGCATCGAACAGCTAAGCTGTCCTCAACAAAGTAGCTTAAAGTCACGTTGGATCAAACCAAAGGGTTGTGCTCAAATTTAATATTGGGCTTTGTATCAAGTCTTTTTGACGAATCAGCTTTGTATCAAGTCTTGGTAACTACATAAAGTTAAGTGGTTTCATGATACCATGCCACGCAATACCCATGGCCTAAGCCAATGGCCAGGCAGACGTTTCTACTTTCTGTGAACTATGCAAAGTACTACAATTACAGTATAAGTTTGGAAACCAACATACTATTGTAGATGTGTACATCATAACTGATATTTCATGTCTTGATTATTGAATTTCTTGTTCCCTTCTCTAATTATATAAAAGCAGAAGAGATTACGAAAACTTAGGCTACCAGACCATTTTAATTCATTTGACATAGTGATCACACCATTCACAGAAAATAACTAGCTGGCCTTAACAATAAACTATCTTTCCTTGCACATTCAAATGTTCTCCACTGAAAACAATCCTTGGCATATTGCAAAATGCAAACATATTTTATTTTATGAAAAAACAGACCAATCATTACATCCAAGAAATCAAATATTTGCACTTACACTTGCAGAGATGCGGCAGAGTGGAAGTAGACAATAGTATAAGGTTTTTGTATTAAAGCCTCGAACTCCTAAAGTTCAACACGAACAAAACAAAGCTCAGAAATTACAAACATCAGTGTATAAGATGTCCAGCTTAAGTGTATAACTGAATTACCTTTACCACATATAACACAAATCGTTCCAGATCAAGACATCTGAGCAAGAAGTGAGCCCCCACAACAACCATGACAGGACGACCCTCACTGTCTACCCCTCCACGATAACTAGAAAACACAAGTATTTCAGTTATTATATGCAAGTATGAATAAAAGAAATCGCATGTGACATGCCCCCCTAACCTTGAAATGGGGCAACCTCTCCTCCCCCTGAACATTTTTTCACCAGGGAGAAAAAGCAAAGATCAATCTGAACACATGCATGAAGCGTTCACATTGATTGGCTATGGAAAGCAAAAATAAGTAAAAATTTAAATAGCTCAAAACTTCATTATGCGCTTATTGATGACTGACATCCGATAAGATTATTTTTGTCATAAACCAGATATCTCAAAAGCTTAAGCTGTTGAGTGAAAATACATAATAGATTTGCTACTTTTGTATTTGAAGCAACCCACTTGCAAGAGCTCATTGGGGGCTTCAAGCATGGACAATTGCATTTGCTAACTCCACCTTGAGATGAAATTTAAATTTTATTTATAAGAATGAAAACTGGAATGTTATAAACATGAAACTGATTTATTAGAACTTAGTAATGCAAACCAGATGATCAAATAGATGGATACTTACACAATTTTCATTTCTGCAATTTCAGAAAGATTTAAGGAATTTGCTTTAGAAAGGTATCTAGAGTGAAGAGAATATTCTTCGGCAGCAGACAATGGAGGCCCCTCAAGGTCGCCGTATCCAAGTAATTTAGCACAATTAAAGCCTCTTTGTGCTTCAGCAGTTTTCTCCCACTGCTCCAGACGCCTTTGATCAGGGTCTTTAATCAACGACATAAAGGCGGGATCTAAATATGAATCTAAATTTGGTGATTTCCTACAACACAAAGATCAGGAAAATTCTATCAGAAGTGATATTAAAAAATGTTTGATGTTCTGTTTAGTCAAATACAATACAACCAAAACATTCAAGCACATACAACTAAATTGCAAGCAAGTGAATCTAAATATGCTCAGATGCATTCTTCAGAGGCTTTTAAATTTGTAATAGAACATGTTAAATATATAACCTGGTCAACCAACATTTATATATGCTCAGATTGATTATGCATCTTGACTTTCCTGACTCCTAGTATTTATTTTCACAATGAAACATGCCGAGAAATCAACAAAGTAATGAAAATTTTAAAATTTTAAAAAATTACTGACTTTTGAACTAGCCCAATATCACTGACAGGAAGATCAACTGCATCATCGGATGGTCTTGAAACACTTTTTTTAGGCAAAGGCTTTATTCTGATTTTACGCTCATCTATGATGGTCTCGCCATTTTCATCCCCAACATCTGCAGGAAGTTTTGACAATGCAACTTGCTCCTCATGTTTATCCCGAGGAAAGTAAAGTGGAAGCAGCCTAGATGAAACAAGATGAAAGGTAAAAATAAATAACACACATTTTGGTTTTAAGGAAATTGCAGATATCAAAATAGAAAGGAAAAGAAAACTGCAGATACCAAAATAGAAAATGCAGAAAATACCTTTTATATATTTCAGTATCAGTTGTGCTAGTAGTGCAAAATACAACAGCTGTTAAGTTATTTTTTTGCTTTTCAAGGAACCGTCGCACAGTTCCTGAATAAAAGACATTAAAAGGAAAGGAAAACAAAAAAAAAGAATTAGCCCGAGTAAAAATGTCATCCATCAACCATCTGAAAGTAATATTCAGCTTAACAGGAATCAAATATAAACTACATGCATTCTACAGGGACATGATAAATTAACTTGAAGTCTTCAGAATTCGTACATTATGGTAGAATGACTTATGGAATGAAAAAAAAATTAGAAATATGATACACCCATGCATTTTGTTTTCTTAGTCAGGCTGCACCTGTCATCCATCCCCATCGTCGTTAATCTAAACACCACTGGATTACATAAAATCAATTAACGCAAATCGTGAGGAATTGAATGACAATTTATCATTTTATTTCATACTCTCTCCTTCCATTCATTGATAAAAAAAATGTTTTTTTCTTTATTATCAAGTCAGCAACTCATTTTTCTGATCTTTGGGATTAATGCCTAGTAATTTATGTATGGTTAATGGAAGAGTAATAATGATCTCTGTAATTTCAATTTCCATGACCAAAATATGACAAGAAACAAACTGCAAAAAGAAAAATCATGCCCAAAAGAAAATCTCACTTATAGCTACATGAGCAGCAGGTTCTCGGGGATAGTTCTTTGCCTCCGTATAAATACATCCCATAGCAATGCTACATCAATATATGACCAAGATAAGTACGTTGTGCATATTTAAAATAACATTAGATTCCCAAAACGAATAAATGTTGCAAGAAAATAAATAAATTATATAACAGTTTGGGGTGATGGGGAACCTTCTAAGTCCACTGTCAACTAGAAGCTCCAGACAAGAACGATAGCAATGACTTAAAGCATTCTCAGCAGCAGTATGGTACTTTACAGCATATTTGGGGCCAACGGTGTGGATAATTCTCCTATGGGAAATTTAGTAACGTAAAGATCATGGTATAGTTCAGTAACAAAAGATAGAAATGTGGAATACAACAACATAATTTGTGCAGCATAACATATTATACATCTCAAGTCCAAACCACGGGGAAAAAAGCCGCAGTCTAACATTTACAACTAATATATAAGTTCCATGCCCAACAATCACCATTCGACAAAGAAAGTATGGGAGAGCTCCTTTCAATCAATGCAACAACACATTTAAATACATTCAGAATGTCTATTCCATCAACAAGAGAAAAAATTGTAAACCGTGATTAATTGTAGAAGTGGTCTACTTATAAAACAGAGACTATTGCTTCTTCAGCTTGAAAAAGAAAATGAAAGGAGGCCAACAATCAAACCTAGCGGGAAGGTCATATGCATTGGTAACTTTAGCCATCCCTGTTCGACATCCACCCTGTTGACAATAAAGATGGTGTTAGTTCATATTCTCGAGCATCATATCAAGAAAGTTTCTTCCCCAACACGTTATTGAAATATGACAATTTAACCGGAGCTGCTTTTTGCAAGTTTTTGACATGGTGAACCACAAATATTAATAATAATAAAAAAACTGATAATAGAAAATAATAAATTTGTATCTCATGTCCCAAGCTCACATATTATCAATCTCCAACATGGAGCATATAATACAAATTTACTAAATAATTAACTATACCAGAGTCGCACATTCTTCTGCAAGACCAGATCCAGCTGCAGCATGCAATCCAGGGCTGCTGTGTGCTTCATCCATATTCTGCAACCATAAGAAATGAAAATCAGATAGGAAATAAGATATTACCATCCTCGTTTTACTTACGGGTGCTCAGTCCTAACATGCTTAACATCCTCCAAATAGTTAATAAGTATTGTTGAATAATGAGAGAACAAGAGGAAGGTTGGATTGAATCCGTGTGTTTGAATTACACATCGGAGCTCATTATATATAATAGGAGGCATAAATGCCATAGTAATTACATAATATTCTATAATAATTACATAATATTTTATTTCCTATTTACATGATATCCTAATTACTTACAGAATATTCTATTTACATAATATGGAATATTCTGATATCTAACACTCCCCCTCAAGCTGGAGCATATATATCATATGCACCAAGCTTGTTACAAATATAATTAATTCAAGGACCTCTCAAAGGCTTAGTGAAAACGTCAGCTAACTGATCATTTGAATTGACAAAACTAGTGCTGACATCTCTAGATAAAATCTTCTCTCTGATGAAATGACAATCAATCTCAATGTGTTTGGTTCTCTCATGGAACACTGGATTTGATGCAATATGCAGAGCTGCCTGATTGTCACAAATAAGTGTCATTTGTGAAACATCCCCGAATCTCAGGTCGTGAAGCAATTGTTTAAACCATATAAGCTCACAGGTTGTTGTTGCCATGGCTCGATATTCTGCTTCCGCACTTGACCTTGCCACTACATTTTGTTTCTTACTCTTCCAGGAAATTAAGTTACCACCCAAGAAAACACAATAACCTGAGGTGGATCTCCTATCAAAAGGAGAACCTGCCCAATCTGCATCTGAGTATCCTACAACTCGAGTGTGTCCCTTGTCTTCATAGAGTAAGCCTTTTCCTGGAGCTCCTTTAATATATTTCAAGATGCGAATCACAGCTTCCCAATGCTTCACAAGGAGAGTTAAGAAATTGACTTACCACACTAACAGGAAACAAAATATCTGGGCGAGTAACACTGAGGTAATTCAGTTTTCCAACTAATCTTCTATATTTTTCAGGATCGGAGAGTGGCTCCCCCTGAGCTGGCATAAGTTTAGCATTGGGATCCATTGGAGTGTCAACTGGCTTGGAATTTAACAGACCTATCTCCTCCAAAATATCCATAGCATACTTCCTTTGTGAAATCACAATTCCCCGTTTGGATTGGGCAATCTCTATGCCCAAGAAATAACGAAGTCTGCCGAGGTCTTTTGTCTGGAAATGATGACAAAGGTGTTGTTTTACCTGTGTGATTCCATGATGATCATTACCTGTAATGACAATGTCGTCCACATACATAATTAAGTAAATACACCCAACAACTGAGTGACGATAAAACACTGAATGATCAGCTTCACATCGCGTCATACCAAACTCTTGAATAACAGTGCTAAATCTCTCAAACCAAGCCCTAGGAGATTGCTTAAGTCCATACACAGACTTATGAAGACGACAAACTAGTCCAGAAGACTCCCCCTGAGCAACAAACCCAGGAGGTTGCTCCATATAAACTTCCTCACACAAATCACCATGGAGGAATGCGTTCTTGATGTCGTAAAGGGGCCAGTGGCGAATAGCCGCCATAGAGAGAAATAATCGAACCGAGGCCATTTTAGCCACGGGAGAGAAGGTGTCACCATAATCTAGGCCAAACAACTGTGTATAACCTTTGGCCACTAAACGTGCCTTGAGACGATCAACTTGTCCATCAGGCCCAACTTTGACTGTGAAAACCCACCTGCAACCTACAACAGATTTTCCAAGAGGAAGAGGAACAAGGTCCCACGTGCCACTGTTCTGAAGAGCACACATCTCATCAAGCATAGCTTGTTTCCAGCCAGGGTGAGATAAAGCATCACCTACAGTCTTGGGAATAGACACAGAAGACAAAGAGGAAATACAAGCATAATGCAAAGAAGACAAGCGATGATAAGACAAATTAACATAATGAGGAGATGGATTACGAGTGGAACGTATACCTTTGCGAAGTGCAATTGGGAGATCAGTCTCAGGGGGCAGGACCGGAGGGGACGAAGGAGTTGGATCCGGATGGGAGTCTATGGTGATTTCTGCATTAGTTGATGGTAGTGGAGGTGGCCGTGGTCGACGCCGATAAACCTGCAAAGGAGCTAATGGGGGTGGATTGGCTGGTAAAGGAGACAGAACTACGTTTGGTGGGGCAGTAGTGGGTGATGAAGAAAACATGGGTGATAGGGACTCAGACCCTGTAGACGTCCCAAAGTAAGGGACTGACTCAAAGAATGTGACATCAGCAGAGACGAAATATCGACGAAGAGACGAGGAGTAACACTTATATCCCTTTTGAGATCTTGTATAGCCTAAGAACACACACTTATGAGAATGAGCTGAGAGTTTGTCTAGCCCAGGACTAACATTATGGACAAAACATGTAGACCCAAAGACTCTAGGCTGTAATGGGTGAAGAGACTGGTGAGGAAATAGAATAGAGTGAGGGATCTGATTGTTGAGGACAGATGATGGCATCCTATTTATGAGATAACAAGCCGTAAGGACAGCATCACCCCAAAAATGTTGAGGAACATTATTGTGAAGTAAGAGTGTCCTAGTGGTTTCAACTAGGTGTCTATTTTTACGTTCAGCGACTCCGTTTTGTTGTGGTGTGTGAGCACAAGACGTTTGATGAAGCATACCGTTAGTAGCTATTAAGATGTGGTTGGGCCTAATTCAACCCTACAAAACCGGCTTGTAGGGTGAGGATTGCCCCCACTTATAAACACATGTTCAGGCCATATATTGTCCGATGTGGGACTCTTAACACACCCCCTCACGCCCAGGACTAGACAACTGGAGCGTGGAAATAAATGGTGGATGACCCACTGGATCTTAAACGAGGCTCTGATACCATATTAAGATGTGGTTGGGCCTAATTCAACCCTACAAAACCGGCTTGTAGGGTGAGGATTGCCCCCACTTATAAACACATGTTCAGGCCATATATTGTCCGATGTGGGACTCTTAACAGTAGCCATGAAAGTTTGAAATTGAGTAGATAAATATTCTCGAGCATTGTCACTGTGCAAAGCACTAATGGATATACCAAACTGATTTTTGATTTCATTATAAAATGTTTGAAAAATAGCAAATAACTCTGATCGATTTTCCATTAAAAATAACCAGGTACATCGAGAATAATCATCAATGAAGGTAACAAAATACTTAGACCCTAAAGTGGAAACAATGTGACTAGGACCCCAAACATCCGAATGAACTAGAGCAAACGGAGACTTAGAACGGCGATTGATACGACTCGGAAAAGAACTACGAACATGTTTTCCTAATAGACAAGACTCACAAGATAACGTAGATAACTTGGAAAGGTTGGGCACCAACTTTTGTAACTTTGCAAGACTTGGATGTCCTAACTGAGCATGAACCAGGAGGGGAGAATCCACCACGGACGGAACCAACATGTGCAGATGGTTGAAGAAGATAAAGACCATTAGACTCACATCTGGTGCCAATCATCCGTCTCGAACTCCGGTCCTGCAAAAAAAAAGAATCTTTGGTGAATGAGATAGTACAATCAAGAGATCGAGTCAAACGACTTAGAGACAATAAGTTAAACGGAGATCCGGGTACATAAAGAACATTAGTAATGGAGAGCAAGGGAAAAAGATGGATAGTACCAGTACCCTGAGATTGAGTTTGGGAGCCATTTGCTAATGTGACAAAGGGTAATAAACCAGAAGTAGAGAATGAAGAAAAAAGAGATTTATTACCAGTAATGTGATCAGTGGCGCCTGAATCAAGGATCCATGGGCCAAGAGATGTGGAGTGAGAAAGACCAGCAAAAGAATTACCCGTGTGCGCAACAGATGCAGTGGAACTAGCGGTCTGACGCTCCTCATACCACTTGATAAAGTCGTTAAAGATAGCAGGTGAGGTGGCAGAATCAGTCGGAGTAGCAGCCTGTGGAGGTGGAGCGGTCTGGGCAACGTGGGCAGTCCGAGGAGAGGGACGTCCATGTAAAGCATAACACCGATCGATAGTGTGGCCAAACTTATGACAATGATCACACTTAGGACGAGGCTTTCCAGTCTTCTGAAAGTGGCCACGATCACCACCCGGAGCACGATTACCTCCTTGAGAAACCAAAGCAGATGAATCAACTGGTGTGGGTGGGACTCCGCCGTCAGATGATGGTTTTGCTGGGACACGTAGCAAAGTAGACCATGCAGTATCCAGAGTGGGGATTGTAGGAGACCCCAATATCTGATCGCGAACAGACGAATACTCTGGAGGTAGGCCATACAGAGCTAGAAGCATGAAGAAGGATCGACGTTCTTCAAGTTCCTTAGCAGTGGTAGCAGCTGGGGGCAATAATTCATTGAAATCATGAAGAAGACCTTGAACACGACCCAAGTATTCAGCCATAGAACCATCCAGGTGACGAGGGGAAATAATATTCTGCAAATTTTGACACACTCCATATAAGCGTTGTGTATCATTGGTATAAAGGATCTTAGCCTGTGCCCAAACAGATTCGCAAGTCTCATGAGAACGAAAGATCTGTTTCAAGGATGGACTAATAGTCGACTTAATGAGACTGCAGAGTTGAGCATCAATTTTCTTCCAACGAGCACTATCAGTGGCAGCCACCGAGTCAGCCTTCGTAGTGAGGTGATCTTCATAGGCCTGTCCCCGGAGCCATAACTTGACGTCGGAAGCCCAAGAATCATAGTTAGTACCGTCCAATTTGTCAACGGCAAGAGGAGTAGTGATATAACTTGTGAAAATAGGGGCCTCGGCCCTTGGAGGGGGGACGGAGGCCATGGATTCCAAAAACGGTGAGAGAAGTGACCAAAAAAAATGGAAGATATGAGAAGGAATATCGGAAACCGGAGATGAAGCACGGTTACCGGGAAAAAAATGGCGCCGATAGATAGTGGATCTACCGGGAAAGCAGGAATTAGGGTCGCCTCTTGTTAGGCTCTAGATACCATGTTGAATAATGAGAGAACAAGAAGAAGGTTGGATTGAATCCGTGTGTTTGAATTACACATCGGAGCTCATTATATATAATAGGAGGCATAAATGTCATAGTAATTACATAATATTCTATAATAATTACATAATATTTTATTTCCTATTTACATGATATCCTAATTACTTACAGAATATTCTATTTACATAATATGGAATATTCCGATATCTAACAAGTATTAAATAAAAAGAGGGGTGAGTTTAATATCTGGAGAGCAGAAAATGCAATCAATACCTTTTGGATTTGGCAATTAGGAGATGAATTAGAACTTGGGAGCATATAGAATATATCTCATATTCATGCAATCAAAATATAACATGCACAATATAAATTTCAAATTATAAAAATATTAATAGGTCTCATGACATGATCAAACAAATTTTGCAATATAGCTTGATTTGCAGTTGCAAGTAACCATAGTAATACAACATCAAGGGATAAGAGGAGAAAATGTCACTAGTCAAATTTATTTATTTAAGAATAAAGACTGTGCTTCTTTTGATTGATATTTGGATCAAAATGGCTCAATGTTGTTTGGTTGAATCAGAAAAACATAACCGTTGACCTATAAAGTTGCTACTTTAAAATACTGAAAAACATATTTGCATTTCAACATAGACTTTTAAATTACACAAAAAGTACCCCTAAGAAATAATAACAACCAGATGGTTTACCTAATAGGTAGGGTCAGGTACATAGACCAAACAATGCCATTAAGTTCTATGATGTGTTAAATCCTCAACAAGATATTTACGATGTCACTAAACTACTATTTGATTTGCCCGAAAAATGAAGGATTGGAAAGCGCAAAAATAATGGTCCTATATTTGATTTAAATACAGGTAATAATACAACGTCAAACAAATGATGACAGATTGGAAATATGTTCTAACATAATTTCTCATCGAAAATTGGGGAACAATTCCATCTTGTGGATGTGACTAACAATTCAAACGCCAAAACTAGCCTCTTCCTTCTACCTCCTAACTCCCTCCATCCACCGTAGTAACAATGAGAGTGTTCTCACTCACTCTCCCTTCATCCACCGTGATCAATGCACTCCCTAGACTATGCATTGGCACAAAATTATTTCTGCTCTAAAGCTTTCTAGACGATTTCTATTTGCACCATATTTTACCTCCTCTCACTTCTGTTAAGGCATATTGCTTCCACTGTTGACCTGCCTGGTATAATATTGAAATGGTTCTCCGAAATATGAGACTATTCTCTTAATCTCTCTTTAATTACATTTTCTCATAGTTCCATAACTATGCCTTTTGAACTTAATCCATCTCCAGTTTAGCTAAGAATCATCTTGAATAGAACATGGTATTGAATAGAACATTATGGCGGAATTTGATAAATATAGCTGACCTCACTTAGTGGGATAAGGCTTGGTTGTTATCGTTGTTGTTAGGAGGGGAAGCAAAAGTAATTAGATAAATAAGATTAATTAGTTAGAGCATTTAGTTAATCAAAGAGGAAACCTGCTAAAGGAGAATTCTAAATCATTCAATCAAAATTTAAACAATAAACTAAAGAAAAAAAGCAAGAGAGTGGCCACCTCATTAGTCGAGTTTACAACAGCATCGACCTCAAGATTCCAGGGATTCCCCCTCCACAAATAAATCCTCGAATTAATTTCATGATCAACCGGAAATCTCGATACAGACGAAGCACCATCTGCTCCAGACGTTGATGCTAAAGGATCAGGAAAGTAAGAATTCGAAAACGGAGCCTCTCCATTTTCATATCCTAACGACTGATCAGCATCATTCCACCGCGGAACTTGATCTAAAGTCACAACAGAGTCGCTGCTGTCAGTTGGGAATCCACCGCGAGGTGTAGCTGAAACAGCCACAGGCCTTTGCATTCCAGGTACTTCAATAAACAGCACCACTCCACTTGCTCAACCTTCTACAATCAATAACCTAGCATGGACATGAAATTAGATTCTAGGTTAAAATTTGAAAAAAAATTGGTAACAAAATTCAATTGAAAAATAACAAAAAGTAGAAGAACTAAGGTAGAATTGATGAAATTAGTTAGATTCAGAAACGTATTAACCTGAAATCGATGATGGAATTGTGAGGTGAGGAAGAAGAATAGAAGAACGAAGGTTGAAGAATATTGTGAGAGAATAATGAAAAATGCGATAATTGAGATTGGTAATGATGATTGATGATGATGGATTGGTTGATGAAACGGTGAGCTTGCAATTGAAAATGTAAAGATTTATCGACTATTTTTTATTTTATTTATTACTGTAAATTCGAGATTTTTATTATTATTATTTTTTATTTTTTATTATTATTATTATTATTTATTTTATTTATTATTATTATTATTATTATTATTATTATTATTGATAAAAAGGGAAGGTGGTATTAGAATAGCAACAAAGAAAAACGAAAATTATGGTTTGTCTTTTAGTGCTATGTACGGTTCGATAATTGAGATTCTCTAAGTATGTGGTGAGAAACCCTTGAATTGAATTGGAGAAAAAATTGAATCAAAGTTCGACCGGTAGAATTTAAATTTAGTTTTACGAAGTAAAGGAGTAAATTTCAAACAAAATAAATAAATTTAAAATTTTTCTGTAGTAGTCAACGATTAAAAATATAAATTTTATAATAAATTTATGGGAATGAAAAATATATGATTAATCAAATGAGATGAGATAAAGAAACATCTCTACCATCATCTAACATATTTAAATTATCAAAAAAAAATGTTTTTATATTAGATTCAACAACTACTTACGAACAAACGTCCAATTCTTCTTTCACACTAGATGGGTATTTGTTTGTATGGTCTCATTGGACACTCGGAACACTTTTGTCCTATGAAGTTCAATGTGCATGTTGATCCAGAGGTTGAGGAATGGGGGAATTTTGTAAGAGCGGAATCCAGTGCGCTCAGTGGTAACGTTGCTACCAACAAGTGGTTGAGAAATGGCAGAAGCAAGGAAGGTGTAGGCAGTAGTGCTGAAAACAGACGCAACGGTCAAGGAAATATCCTAAATGGTGAAAGTGAAACGGGAAGACAGAACACAAATTCCAATTCTTCAAATCTTAAGGAGTTGAATGCGGATCATTTATTGTTTGGAAATGTGTTGATTGACAGGGATCCTATGACGAAAAAACTTATTTTCTTCAAGCTTGAGAAGTCGAGCAGCAATCCTGGTAACAATTGGATGTCGTTCAGTCCTATCAACTACACCAATTCAGAAACTACGACTAAGGAGAGAAACATTCCCACTAGGGGTGTTCGCGGTTCGGTTTGGATCGGTTTTAAAGCAAAAACTTATCTGATCCAAAGATTAATTCACTTAAGGTTCGGTTCGGTTTTGGATGATATATTTAAAAAAATCCAATCTGATCCGATCCAATTTTATGCGATTTAATTTGGATCGGTTTTTGGATATCCAAATTACACATTATATTTTTATTAATATTATAAAACTACTAATAAATCATATATTTGATATAATATATAACATATAGTATATTAAAAGTTAATATTACAAAATGAGAGTGATTGATTATGCTTGAAATAATAAAAATAAATAGATTATACCAAACTAATAAATATTATTAAAAAAATTATTATCATCTAATAATAAATTCACATAACATGTCATACTAATAAAAAGTAAATAAGTATCAAAATATATTTATACGGTTCGGTTTGGTTTGGATCGGTTTTGAAAAATTCATCCGAAATCAAATCTGAACCGATCGGTTTTCATAAAATAACATCCAAACACAACCAATAACTTTCAGTTTTTTATGGTTTTCGGTTTTTTGGATCAGTTTTCGGTTTTTTATTTGGATTGGTTTGGATTTGAACACCCCTAATTCCCACTATCAGAGTCCAGGTTGCAGACCAGGAGAGTATGGAAGTGGTTCAAACCGGCAACGATTCTCGGACTGAGTTAGAGTTGGTTGATTCCTTATCCAAAAAGGTTGCAGTTACTAAAAGGGACCCAAATGAGCCAAAACATACCCCTCAGTTTCTGCAGTAGGCTAACAATGTCAATATTAATTTTCCTGCTGGAACAAAGGTTGATGGAGAAGTTAGTCTGTCTAACATAACTTGGAATGATGTTGGAAACAAATCGAGGTCATCCAACCTGGATCGGTACAAATCTGACCTGTCCGGAGTAGTGCTCATATAAGGTGGAGGAGATACACCGCAGTTGTTTCGGTTTGGCCAGAATGTTATTAAACTCGGGCAGACAGTTCCTAATTTCCCTGCTGAGTTGAAACGGACACTAGGTAGTGCAGACGCTGAGGATTCAGTGGTACGACTCGAGAATATAGTAGTTGTTGACAAAGTTAAGGAGGTAATTACTACTTTCAAAAGCCACACAATCATTATCTTTAACACTGTTGGAGTTTTTTTGGGACTTTTACAGACTCTACCAAAACTTAGAGCACTGTAAAATGTCTTGCTGGCCCAAAAGCTCGTGGCAATAGCAACATTGCAATAGATAAAGATTTAAAATTCAGGATTCAATTTTCTAACAAGAGCATGAAAAGTAACAACAATCGAATTCAATGAAGGCTCAAGCTCGTAGAAAAACTCCGTTGAAGGGTAATAAGTTACTTGAAATAAAAGGACAACAAGTGAAAGAACCAATTATTATGAAGAAGAGGATCCGAACGGAGGAGACGAAACCACCTAAATTAGACTGTATTCTTGAAAACAACATTAAAGACACTGATATGACCTTGGAAGATGATGGAAAAATCAATTCTCCTTTGATCCTGACACAACCAAGCAGAGCACTTTATTATTTATGTTGTCAATGATGTAATGGCAGGCACTACTATGCAGGTCTGCCAAGAGAAATGAATATTATTAGCTGAAACTTTCAGGGATTGGGTAACCCTAGTGTAGTTCATAATCTTAAATACCTCATCTGAAGTCATAAGCTAGATGTTATCTTTCTATTTGAAACAATAAGTTTATCCAATAAAATTGAAAGTTTAAGGTACTTGTTGGGCTTTGAATGTTGTTTTACAGTCGATCATATCGGTATGAGAGGTGGTATGTTTGTGTTATGGCAAAAAGATACCAATTGCTCCATCCAAAACTATTCTAATAATCATACATATATTATTGTGCAAGATTCCCGTGTCAGTAATTGGAGACTCACTCTTTTATGGTTACCCTGACACTTCTCGTTGCAGAAATTTTTTGAACCTTATTCGTAATCTTGCTACAACCTCTAATTTACCTTAGTGCATTATTGGGGATTTTAACGAAATTCTTTCTTCTGATGAAAAACGAGGAAATGTGGAAAGACCAAATTGGCTTATTAACGGTTTTCGGCAAGCTATCCATGATTTTGGGTCGGTTTATGTTATAATGGTAGGATATATATCTACCATATAAGAAACATTGAGTCTCTGGAAATACCCTTCATACCCTTGCATATGTGTCAACACCTTATAACATTGGTTAATTGGTTCTCACAATTTGAAATTTGAATATTACTTTTATTCTCTCTCTCTCTCTCTCGTCCTTTTCCCTTTTCCTTGCTTTACTCTCTCTCTCTCTCTCTCTCTCTCTCTCTCTCTCTCTCTCTCTCTCTCTCTCTCTCTCTCTCTCTCTCTCTCTCTCTCTCTCTCTCTCTCTCTCTCTCTCTCTCTCTCTCTCTCTCTCTCTCTCTCTCTCTCTCTCTCTCTCTCTCTCTCTCTCTCTCTCTCTACTCTCTCTCTCTCTCTCTCTCTCTCTCTCTCTCTCTCTCTCTCTCTCTCATCCCTTTTCTCTTCATCCTTTCTCACTCATTTGTATTACTCTTCTCCTTCTGTTGTGTTGTTGTTCGTCTTCCCTGTCACAAAAATCATTTGTGATGTAGTTTCTTTGTTCTGCTATAATTTTTGCACCGACCTCCTCCATTTTTCAACTGTAGCAATGTGGCGAGATCTTTCGGGATGGTAAATGACATCATCGATGAGTGTGGTCGTCGTGGAAACGTTTATACAAGATCATCCAATCGGTAATGTTATTCCTCAAATCATCTTATTGTATATCATTATCTTCATTTTGATATTAAAAATCTAAATTTTAGGTTATGCAAGATTCGTCGGTGTTGGTTATAGATTTTAGGGTTTCTTACTGTGGATTTAAGTTGAATGGCTTCTTACCAGGCTTGATGTCGAAATGGAGATTAAGTAGCATTATTATGAGGTAGATATGACAAAAGTGAAAATTTGGGTTTTATCATTTGTAACACAAAACTATCAATTTTTCTTATTTGCAGGACTGGTGTGTTTCATGAATACCACAGGCGCCTCTATCGCCAAAATTTCATTTTCGGTCACATCACCATCCTCTTGGCTCTTGGTTTTTGCATTTATTTATTTGATTTTTTTAGATCTATGTTTTTCATATCACATATTCTACTTTATTGCAAACTTCTATTTTAAAAAAAGCATGTGCTTTAGACATAAAATTATAACTCTTAAGTAATATAAAAGGTGATGCGTAAACAGAATACCATAAGCGAAGGTTCTGAACTAATATAAGTTAACAAACATACTTACAAACCACTAGCAAGTCACATATGCATACGTACATTGAGTACCATTCCTGCAGAGACATGTCTCTTCATGCACAACACTAGCCCACTTGACATCTCCTTTTGCTTCCTGATATATATGTTGTATTAAATGTTATTGTTTCATCATTGTACTTGGTTGCAACTTGAAATACATGCCTTTCATTCATTATCATAACAATTAAAATAAATTTCCACAACTGTATAAATTTATCATATAATTTGAATTACCACATTTTGCCACAAAAATACCCGCCAAACATTTCAAACTAAATTACATTTCTTCTCCACCAAGGATACGAAAATTGCAATTTCTGCTCTCCTCCTTATCGCAATCAAAATGTATGATACTTTCCTTTGTCTCAAGATTTGTTTCACTTCAAACAGGTCTAATCCAACTATTGATACCATAGTTTATATCCATGTACATTTTGTACACAACTATTATTACAATTTTACAGTCAAAGCTTTTAAATCCCTAACTATGCATTACTGATGTTCTTACTTTGTAAATTCAGGCTGTATTAAATTGGGTCTATTACAAATGGGTGATAATAACGATACCCCTGCTTCGATTACAAGAAAGAGGAGAAGGTTAATGTTGGTGGACAAGAGACGTCGTGATTCGAGTTCAAACAAGGAGAATGTGATGGTTGCACCATCCACACCTACTATTCATGCGACGACATTCTCCCGCTTACATAATATAACACCTTTGACAGATTTAAATAACAATACTCCTGCCGGTGCGAGTAATCGTTTATTACAGGGTGCAACCCCTAACAAGAAGAGACAAATTGATATGATTTCTGGGATTGATTTGTTATCCACTTTTAATTCTCGTGAAATGTTGTCACCAGTTAACCTTAACGCCTCTAATTCGACTATTAAACTACCTGTTATAGCTACTTCAATTCCTCCACACTCAACGGCAGTTTCACAAAACGATCATTGACTCATGCAAAATGTATCTCAACCTCAACCTCATACTTCTATTGCCTCCTTTATAACCAACATTATCGGTAAATTTCCTACCAACATACAATGTCATAGGGAAATGGTTACCAACATAACTAACCAAGCAAATACCTTGCCCCAACCAGCAACCTACCGACAAACAAACTTTACTGCAACTACATC